GCGTGTTCGGCTCCCCGGGACGCTTGATCTTGTTCTGGGGCCCGGCCACAAACTCATCGGCCTCATCTATCATCATACCCTGAAATGGAGTAATAATATCAGCAGCAGTACAAAGCAGCAACTGTTTCACCAATCCGCTGATGAGTTGAGTCCCTCTGCGTTCACTCGAGTGGCTTTCAGAACACTTGACAGCTCTCAGAACAGAGACACCCAACGTAACCAGAGAGAGCCCAGTGCCACTCTGTAAAGCAGCACAATTCCATACACATTCCTCTTGCACCATATGGGAGACATCCCTCCTTCCACAGGCTGCAAAGGTTAGCAATATATTGTTGCTGTGGGGGAGAAATTCTATGCACAAATGTTGTCATCGTATTGCAGGGGTTCCATACTGTTGTCTCCTTATTGTGTAAGTTCCACACCTTCTTGGTGTTTCTCGTGGGCAGCTCCTCAAAGCACTGACTCTTTCTTCTTCACAAAGCAGCCAACTGACTCCAGTTCCCCTCTCAACCAACCAACCCACTCTTTTATAGCATCTTCTTCTCACTGGTTACAGCTGTGGCCTGTTAAAGTCAGGCCTGTTCCTAATCTTTGATAACTGGCCCAGCTGCAACTCCTTGGGGGTAAGATTACTTTCTACACTATCTTTATTTTCTTATATTCTATCCCCCTACACACAAATAATTTTAAGTTGCATTAAATACAAAGGCACAGCAGGCAGCAAGGCCCCTCCTACCTTCTTGTCCTGCTTAAATGGATTGCCAAATGTATGGAGTCTTTTTGGTTGATCTGGGTCAATTTCCCGAAGAGGTGAAGGCATCATTTTCAGGTATTCCTGGTAATTTCCCATCTGAGCAACAGGAACACTATGAAGGCAGTCTGCAACAGAAAAGAGATCTTAATTTAGTCTTAAAATTAAGGCAATACAAACTTCATGCCCCAAATGTTAGCATTTAAGAACCTGAACTGATTATTTCTTTTGACTACAGAGGATGAGCTAAGACTACAATTGTGGAAATAAGCCTAATAATAAGAAGAATAAAAACCAAGCAAGCTTAATTTCTATGCCGACAACTGCATCTTTAGATCACCAGCATCTCACAAAAAACAAAGAGAGCTCCTCTCTGCCTTAAGCCCTCATCACTTCATAACACATTTCTACTGAACCCTGGTGAATATGAAAGCTCTCCCATGGAATTTATTTTTAAATTTCAAAGCCAGCATGACATCTTGCATGACAGAAGGCAAAGATTTCCTTCCTTCCCCTTCAGAGTCAAGAAAAGGACATTGTCTGACTCAGCAAGAGATGCAATAGCAACCTCTGTCCCCACATCAAGATCCACTAGCTTAAGGAAACAACAAAAATAGCTGTATTCTCTTCAAACTGTTAATGAAGAGCTGTGATTGCTTACCTTCATCCTGCCCCAAGATAAGCCTGTGTGTTTTCAGAAGGTTGGTTCTCATTCTCGTTAGCTGGTCTAGAAGACTGCGACGAGGAATATCATAGGCATTTCTGAATGCCTGTGGCTTCAAATCCTAGTTTTGTAACAAAATCAGTAACTCTCAGTTAATCCATCAGTTCTCATGCATGGGGAAATTCCACTAAGAACTATAATAACATTAACTTTTAAAAGATGTTAAGCAACTTTAGAGCTTCATAACTGGATACAAGCAGCTCAGTGGCTGTCTTTTCAACATGACCTTATTCAGCATTAGTGCTTTCAGCTCCATTAAGAGTAAGCACATTAATTTGTGGATGAACAACAATAGCTGTCTTTTGCAGAGGCTGGCACTTAAAACACAGTAATTTTCATTTACTACCATGGGGGTTTCAAACAGTGTCCCAAAATCAAGTGCAAAAAAATTGCATTTACTCTTCTCCTTCTTTATGTCTACGCTGTACTCATCACAGTTCAGCAAAAGTACTTCCTTCTACACTAAATCCATACAAGTTACCCATATAAAACAGATGAGATTAACTGCTTAGTCATGCAAGATCACAGTGCTGTTTACCTTGTTTAAAAGTCCTATGTGGAATCCAGCAAATTCTTTAACATTCATTTCTGACAGTCTCAGTGGAGATTCCCCAGTGATCCCTTGCAGCAGCTGTTTAAAATCCCTACTGTGTACCAAGGAGAGGCCACTGGAGTGATTTTTCACTTTTATTCCAATTTCTTGTGGAACTTTCTTACCCACTGAACCTATTATCCGTTCCGATTCTATTTTTGTCTAAAATGGAATCACACCGTGAGTTAAAGAATCAGCAGGCATTGCACATTTCCAGTACAAAACACACAGTACATTAGCAGAATAAAACTACAAATTTAGTTCCCTGCTACCTACCCAGGGATACATTGGATTACATAGATTAGATCTCAAGCATAAAGAAATCCTAATGTGCTAGCATATGGAAAAATATTTAGCCAGTGTATCTAAATTTATATGGCAGTAGGAGGTCTGTGAATATTCCCTGATTTTGCTGCAAGTCTGTGACTTTCTTGTGTCCCTGAAGAACCATCTTTAAATGGAAAGAAAAAACAAAATGGAAGGTAGGATCCTGAGGTTATAATAAAATTGCATTTAAAACAATAGTATTATTCAGACACAGTAATAAAATTTCAGTTTATTTTTGAACCTATGAACTACGGTTTGCCCTGTATGCTTGTAACAACATAAGGGAGAAATGTTGCAATAGAAATCTGTTTTATGAGTACATTTCTAAAAATGTATCACTTCTCCAATTAGCACAGATTTCTTATTACAGCTACAGAGAATTTTACTGTATTAACTTCTAACTATTCAGAGTTAAGGCTTTTTTTACCCACTAGCAATACCTCCAAAGAAAAAGAACACCCAACCAACCAAAACCCCAGAACCCACTGCAATTGCAAGCCACTTCCCCCAGATCTCCTCCTCTGCACAGTTTGCTTCATTATCTGTGGGAAATTGAATTTAAGGACAGCAGGAGCACAGCAGAATTCTGGAATTGCCTGTGCCTATGGAGGAGCTGGTAATGCATTCCACACATTCAAACTGTTCCATGTGCTGAGAACGCCTGTGAGAGCCACAGCAGCCATCTCCAGTCATTCCAACTCCACAGTGCAGATAAATCATAGCAATCTGCATATCATTGGATTACCAAAATACCACAGGAAGTTTTATGTCTAGTAGAGGCTCAGTCATTCAGAGGCTCTGGGATGTGTTTTGTGCATTCTTTAAGGTGGAGGATTTTTGCTTTGTAATTTTAAAGGCTGCTTGCCCACTGCTTTCTAGATACTGAACTGATGTTTTAAGAGCTCCTCATGCTAAGGAGGAAACACTTCCAGGCCCTTACACCTGGGATGGCAGTCTTGGCAAAAAGATACATAGGATTATTTCCCACCAGGTCACACTTAACACATAGAAAGACTTTGACCTGAAGGAAACAGGAAGCTTAGATATAAAGCTTGAACTGTGATTTTACTCCCCATGGACAAGAATGTACTTTTTTTTTGGAAAATACACATTGCCAAAGGACACATGGAAATAAATATGAGACTGAAAGCAAGCCTCTGACTTCATCTGTGAAGAACAATGGCAAGAGCAGGCATAAATCCAATTAATGATTATCTTTGGAGTTTAAATTCTAGTAAATACTTAAAGTATAGCTGAAGAAGTTTCATTTGAATTCCTCTCCACCACTTACAGAAGGCACAATCACTGGCTACAGAACCATACTGGATTCATCCATATTTGCAGTGGAAATGCTCACCAATCTTCAATGATAATAAATGCTGCACACCCATATGAACTCCCACAGGGATTAACTGCTTTATAATGAGATTACCACAAACTAAATCATCAACGCACTTCTAATTGCAAAGGTTTCATCAATACTACCTGTTGGCTGAGTTTTTTAAGGTAAGAGATAACACTGTAACTAAGTCCACAATCTAAATTATCTGATATCAGATTTGGAGCTCCCATCATCCTTAGGGCTTTCTTTAATGGCTATAAGGAAAACAAAATACACAATAGTAAGAGAATAAGTATTTAAAAAAGAAATTTATAAGCTCAATTATAGGAAGCTAAGGCACATAGATTAGTGCTCTAGCTTTTCCACTTTTGGCCACTAAAATTCAAGTCTATTTAGATAACATGTGACATGAGATTGGTGTCTAACTAGCTCACAATGGACATTATGCCACATCACCAAGACACCACAGAGCATGGTGCCACTGGCAATTTCCACTCCAAGGCTCAGGTCCAGAATAGCCGGGATGATGCAAGTCCATATTGAGGTGCATTGTCCAAGCTACACGTAAAAGGTGACACAGTGCCTCCCTCCACCCTTCATTTGGCCCAGTCAATATCAGCTTCCCAAGCTGTAGCACTTCACCCACATTAACAACCAACCTAAGCTGCATTTTCCTTATCCATTACAAAAATAATGCCAAATTTGGCTTCTCTGAATGTTCTGAAGTACTTTTGATTTAAATTAATTTAATATTTAATCATCAGAAAACACATTTACTAAACACTTAATATCTTAACATAGCTACTCCTCCTCCTCAGTATTTCTACAAATTTTTTAATTCTTAAAAATATTTACTCTAATCTACATACCTCTGAAAGGTAGAATGTTAACTACCTAAAATGCCACCATAATTATGTAAAAAAACTTTACTGGGAAGAGGTATGATGCAAAGGACTCTGGCCACAGCAGCCATTATACCCCGGAGGATGAGATGAGAAGAGGAACATACCAGTAAGTAGTAAGGAGGCATTGTTTTTAAGTAGTTGTCAAAAGCCTGTCGCCACTTCAGATTTGGCTTAAGTTTGTGAACCTTAAACAAGTCATCTGCAAAAGGAAAACAACAAAACAAGGTGTCACTTATACAGTCCCAGACCTTGAGCTTTGTCCAACATCGTACGTGCCAGGTTTCCCCCCGTTTTCTCCCCTCACCCATCTCCCAATGGGGCTTCCCCCCAAAAACTGCTCTTAACCTGAGGTGTGAAGGATTGGGAATCCCCACTCCTAGCTGCAGTAGGTAATCCAGAGCAAGTCCCCATTACAAGCAAACTTACAAAGTACACCAGACTTAAACACTGCACACAACTACCAGCAGCATGGAAGGTGCAACAGATCCACCTGTTAAAGAGTTTCACCTCCCTTGCCTCTCTCTTGCACATCAGGGAGTCCCTGGATCTGATTAAATCAAACAACATTAATTTGGTTCCAGCTCCATTTTCAAACCAGCTTTCTTCTGTTCAACCTGTATGATGAATTCCGGTCTACAGTAAAAATATTCTTTGGCATCAAAGGGAAAGAATAAAACAAGTCAAATCAGGGAATCCTTCTGGAGAGCTTTGCTGGACTTGCTGCCAACAGCAGCAGCTACACCTGGCAGACAAGGGGTTACCTCCAGCCACAACACCTGCCTCGTGCCAGGGCAGCAAAGTCTCCCACAGGTATAGACAAGAGAGAGAAATTAGCTACAAAAACTGCTGTCCTTTAAGAGAGGGGCAAGCAGACATTTCTTGCTTTGGGTAGTGTTTCACAAGTGGCTCACTGCAGGTGTGCACCTGGATTTCAGGAAGGGCTGAGGTGAAGCGTGGGCCTACTTGCTGTGCACACTGTGAGCTCTACACCAAACCCAGCATCCTGCAATTTACCATTTGCAATTATGAATTATCCACTGAAATGAAGGTTCTTAGTAGGATTGTAGCATGCTGGCAAAGTAAGGCTAATGGAAGGATTTGCAGGTCTGGAGAAAGGGATGTTCAAAAATTAACTGGGGAGAGCTGCAGGAGACAGAGATGCACAGAAGAGTGTGTGCAAAAGACAGATGTAGCAAAGAAATAGTTTTCTCCACACTGAGTTTTCAGGAAGATGTATTTGGAAAAGAAAATTTGACTTGCATAGTACTCTGTACAAATTGAACAGATGTTATGATACTACTTCCCAAGTTCTCATAGACAAACCACTCTCAATTACAGGTATTTTCCAATCTAAATCAATTCTGGATTACATAGAAAAACCATACTACAGATGCTGCTACTTCTCTTCCCTGGCCTGAAGAAAGTGGGCTGGAGTTGGAGAGGGCAAATCAAAATTCCATTTAAAATCTCAATATACTTCAAGCTTAGCACTATTATCCAAAAGAACCTGGGGTGATATCATGACATATGGCAAAAAAACACCAAAAAAACATCCATTCTTATTTCACAGACCTATTTCCTTTTGGCAGCAAAATGCAAGTTATACTACATCCCTCTCAAAATTCAACATAAAACCAAAAACTTAAAAAGCAAGATGTTCAGTACTGTAGTATGTCCTAATATTTAACAGTCTTGGGTTGGTTGAGTACAGCTTGAACCTTAAACCCCATATCAGCACTTGATTAGTGTCTCACTTGCTGCACTGTGAGGCTGTACCACTATGGGCACAGTGACATGGCACAGGCACCCCTCAGCTCAGCCACCTGGGCTCCCAATCCACAGAGCTTTTACTCCCAGACATCAAATGCAAAACACCTCCCTGATCTCTGCTATCCCAGGAAAAAATTCTCCAACCTATGCAGAGCTTCAGCTTTTTAAAATCAGCCTCCCCACAGCACAAACTCACTGCAGGAACTGCCACCTTCTCAAAAGGGAGGTGAGCACAGCCACAAGTTTCAGAGAGAACTTCACCATCAGCATCTTACCTGCCTCTCTACCTTGAGAGTTTGAGACACACACTGTCAGCAGATTGCAACACAGGCACTTGAAAGGCACTTTTCCCCCTGTGCCCTGAGCTGCACATGATGATTTATACAAATAAGCAAACTAAAAATAATCCAGTTAACTATGTCTTCCACAGATTAAACCATAAATTTTTGCAGATAAAAATCAAAAAGTATTGAAAAAAATCCTTACACAATTTAGTTTTACTTCTACCTAATTATTTTCAGATAGTAATTTCTGCAAAGTCTAATTGATGCAGAATTCTTTTTATTTCTGAACTCAGAGGGAGTTAAAAGCACTGTATAACTGGGAACATGGTATTAAAAACCATTAGGAACAGGCTGCAAGCACCAACTCAAGGGATCAGGTAAAATCACACAGACCAGTTAACTGAAAATTGCATTGCAAAGTCTTTATCTACTTCAGATTAATGTACAAAACAACCAAATTATGACAGGACATAATACACACTTTTAACACTCAGTACTACAGAAGGGGGCTGGATGCACCTTTAAAGATCAGTGAACAGTTGAAAAGAAGAGTGTGAGAGAGAAGAGAGTCAGCAGGTAATTTAAGTAGTTCAGCTGGAGTCTAAATTACAACAGTCATGCACCATGTAACCAAAAGTAAAACTTAAAACTTGTTTTTTATTTTTTAAATCACCAACCACATTAAATTCCACCTGAGCAAATACACCACCATTCCCTGTTGACTCCTGTAATTCTCCTAATTAGGCACTAATGCTCTATTCTAGGTAGTAGATTCATGATTTTACATTCACAGAAAAAAGTATCCTTCCCTGCAAACCATCTAAGCAAAAATAAGGCACTGCAATGGAAAACAGCATCCATCACTACCTAAGAAAGGTGTTGTGTCACTGTTTCCCCATTGATACAAAATGTATAAAAACTATTTGGCTGCTCCTCCCAGAGCCACAGCATGCTGTGTTCACCCTGGGGAGAACACAGCCCTTAGTTTCCAAAATATAAAATCGTAACTTGCAGGTTTTCTCACAGAGCCTGTCAAAGCATCAAAGGAAACTGCATGCTGCAGTCCTTCACAGGCAGACATTTTCTAAATGCTCATCCTGTTGCATATTTAGACCCAGAGAAAAAGGGTATTTAACCACTTTCTCAAGGCATTTCCTGCATGGCTGTTTCACTGCTGCTTCTGCTGACACTCCCAATGCACAGTCACTCCTACTGCCCAGCAGTGCTTGCCCTCCCACCCATGCAGCTAAAAGGAACCAAGGAAACATCTTAGGCAAGGCAGAAGCATTTAGAAATATACCTCATCTTTACTCAGCTCTCCCTAAAACCCCTCCTCCAACTTCTGCTTCATGAACTTGGCTGTACAATGTTTTTAAACAGAACAGCACCTGAAGTACAACAGCTTTGCACAATCCCTCAAGAGGAAATTTCTATCATCTGTGGGCCAAGTACTGAGCACTGGAGCACGTCAGCATCTGCCTGTGGAAAGCTCTGCCTCCAGCAGCCTCCCACTGAACAGAAAGAACTGCAGCCCACCTCAGCTCTGGGAGCAAACCACCACCAAGCTGTCAGGACTCTCTCCAGCTGTCTGAAGGCAAACTGGAGCTCTCATCCCACATGTCCATCATGGCTGGGAATGGACCAGAGACCAGGGCTTTTGTCAGCCAACCCAGCACAGTGCATGAGTCCATTAACAGACTGTGTGTGCCTCCACTGTTTTATCAACTCCTATTAACTGGCTCCTTTCCCTTACAAAGCTTGTGAGTGAAGGCCCTGGAGTTAAACACCAGCAGAAGTTACAGCATTCTCCAGTCCACTCTTGCAGAAACCAAGACATAAAATCACCAAAGCTACAGGATGTGGTACAATTCACCTCCTTCAGCCATGGACCAGCACAACTTTCAGTTTTCTCCAGTATCACCTGCAAGCTGCCTCATGCCTACCTACCTTACCTGTTTGTAGGGCTGTCTTACATTATTTTTCAAAAGGAGAATTAAAACTTCACCTGCTCAGGAATGCAGGAGGATAACAAAAAATGCAAGCAAAAAAAACTTTAAACATCTTACTATCTGTTTCTAAGGTTGAACATATTTGATAATACATACAAATATACAGTTGTAAAGTGGTTTTGTCTTTGACAGAGACACCAGAAGGAACAGAGGCAGATTATCCATGGTGCTGTCCCAACCAGTCCTCCAACACAATATTCTACCAGTAGGGCAGGAGCCACTAGAACCACACTGATCAATAGGGGAGGCAGGGGCTGAATGGAGCAGACTTCTCCTGGTCTTGGGACTTCTCCACATCCTTTTAAATCTGGATGAGAGTAATGAAAAATTGGTTTTACACACTCCTATCAGTCCTCTGCTGAACCATCAGTATCCACTACTGGTGTGTATGAAGGTAGAACAGGGGGAGTGTTCCACCTACCTACAGAGCCAAATGCAGAGTCAGTATTGCTAAAATCATCTACAAATCATTTACCAGGCATGCTGCTTATCATCTCACTCATCTTCTGTGCCCAGTAGAAAAGGACCCAGATCTACTTTTGTGTTTAAGGTATATTCCACAGAACTTAATCCTACCATGCCTTAGAGACCAAGGACAAACAAAGCCCTGGAAGGAGATCTGAAGGTAACACTGTGTGCTTGTATGGACAATGTGGAATGCATGGGATTCATGACCTCAAGAAAACATCCACTTTACAACTCAGGCAATGTGGAAACTCTTCATTTTCCTTTGAAGAGCCTTCAGAAATATAAGAAATGGATTACCAGGTGAGTAAACTGCAGAAGAGCACTACACACACTGAGATGTGCCTTTCCTCAAAGAGAAGGAAGAGATTTACACCCCTGTAAAAAAGAGGCAGGGGGAAGACAAGAGCTGCCAGGGAAGACTCAGCAGAACTGCAAATGTCAACATCAAAATGAATAGGGAAGTTAACTTAGGATCAGTGATGGCTTTTCAGCTAGTGGGTCTGCTGCAGAATTTCAGGAACCACAAAGTCACTGAAACTCTCATCCTCCTTGCACACTTTGGGACAATTACCAGGCTACATAGATAACTATAAAAGACACATTATGAGCAAACACAAGTTTCTTCTTTTTTGGTTATGACCAGGATTACAAAAAAGCATTCCTGAATTGTGTTCTGATCTTTTATTTTCTCCTAAAAATGAATAGAAAAATCCTGTGTAAGACAGTAAGACTCAATTCTTGGTCACTGTTCTTCTGTATCACTAAAAACATCCACAAAATCTAGAACAAAAAAGCCATAACAGCATCTGCAACTGAAAGGGTTAGTGGCACTCTGGAAACTCCTCTCTGCCATTACCTTTATGCCAGTTACTCACACAGCACTTTTTCATATTATCTTTCCTTAGAAAATATAGAAAATAATTTCATTGTGGGAGTAAAAAAAAAACAAAAAAAAAAAAAAACAAAAAACAAAAAAAAACCAAAACCAAAACCTGGTCCTTTGGGCAGGAAAGAAATGCAGACTGTTTCACTGCTCAATTCCTTCTTACTGCTCTGAACTGCATTAGGGAATTCCCTCTTCCCAACACCCGTGACAAACACTGCATCTCATCTTCCAGTAAAAAATAAGCTGCTACAAGAGCAACTGTAAAACCTGGATACACCACACCCTAAATGAGGGAAAAGAATGGAGGTTGAAGCTTACTCCAGGTTAAGGAAGAGGCTACGTGTCTAGGAGGTGAACAGCATCAAACATGCACTGGAAGCAGGTAGCTCTCCTCCTCTGCTGGAGAGAAAAAAAGGGAGAGGGGGTATGAAAATCCTCTCCTCCCAAAGTAGGTTAAAAGAGTTTGCAACATTCTCTACTCTCTGATCTCCATTATTTTATAATGTCTCAAACTAAGGCAGAACACCAACCATTATTGTTTTGCTTTTACTCTGGAGCAGCTGCAGTGGCAGTGCAATGCAGAGGTGTTACCTACCTAGCAATGGAAGTAAAACAGGGTAGTTGTAAGGCATCACAAAGAGGTTTACACAGGTTAAAGTAGTGCTTGCTTTTAAATACCCAAACGGGTGGCCGAGCTCGCTGTATTTTCCACTGCTACTCACAAATACCTGACAAGGAATAAAAGAGAGCATTGCATTAGAATGAGGAATGGGAAGAAACAGTAAACATGGGGCATTTAAAAATTCAAATCAATCTGAATCCAAATGCATTAAGACAGTAAATTATCAAGCACAGACGAATCTGAACCCATCAGGGTGAGTATGGACCTACACCCCCAGTCATGGACTGAGCCATGCAACATTTAGTGTACACCCAGCAAGTGTGGAAATGCTCTTCACAGAGTGATCTTTACTGATTTAGTGAAACTACTGTGAAGTGATGCCCTGAAGAGTTTTTGAAATTATTTAAAACAGGTTAGGGACATCTGTTGAAGGAATGTTAAATAAGCAAGCTATTTGAAATCAGTCTTCTGACTCAAAAATAGCACCACTCATGTTTACAACACTGATAAAAAGAAATGCAAAACGTTTTTAAGCATAGAAATTTAACAAAACAAACAACCACTCAAGAAATGTCTTGATTGTGCCTAGTGCCAACATTCTTAAAATTGACTTTATCTTTTTAAGTGCACATATATGAGGGTTTTAACCCTGAAAAGCAATACATGTAAACAATATTTCAACAGGATAAAAATGGTAGATGTTCTTGACTGAGGCAAGCAAAATAACCCACATCTAAGTCAAAAATAGTTTTCCTAGAAAAAAATAAACCTTGCAGCAAATAGCAAGTGGCTTTCCTCTGTTTTTTCAGGGCATAAGAAACTGGGTTTGTTGCATGGTTTCTATGACAATGAGTCTATTTCTCTGATTTGTAAGGGTCTGATGTGTAGCTGGGAGAAGAAAAGCAGTTTTTGAAAAATAGCAGTAATTTCAGTAACTCAGGCAAATAATGTCCCTAACAGAATATAAAGGATATTTCTGAAATTAGGTTTTTTTAAGTAACTTGAATTTTTCTTTTGAATATGCATGTCATATTTTCAACTAAGTTATACTATTTATTAGGGATATAAAAATAGAGACACCTCCAAATTCACCTTTCCAGCCAAAGTATCATACTAAGCATACTCCTGGTGTACACATCAGGCTAATATTTAAAAGAACACCACCAAGAAGGGAGCCTGATTTTAGAGAGGACACAGAAACTTATTTAAAAAATTACAAAAGTATCACGTGACAAAGGATTTCAGCAACAGAACTTCGACCTCTTCAAGGCCAATCTAGTCAACAGGATCAACAGCTTCCATTCAATTCCCATTAGCAGCCTCAAGCATCTAGTGAAAATGATTTGCAGCTGTTCATTAGGTAACATGATGGAAACTAGTGCTGGGTTTTCCCTGTAAGCAAATGGAAGCCTGCAGAGAATTTCAATTTAGCCAAAAATGGAACCTGGGGGGCGTATTTCTTAGCAAAATGAGATGGACCTAGAAAGAGAATTAAATGAGATTACAAAGCCTGTGGAGGGAACACTCCATTCTGACTCCTAATAATTCCCTTAGAAAGGAGGTAAGTGAAACCTTGACATGTTTCTTCTCATCTGCTGCAGAGTTTGAACCAGACCCCAATTCTCCAGGCTTGCCAAGATGGAAGTACCCATTATATTTCTAGAATCTGTACTGATAACCCATTAGATTTCCAGAATCAAATAAAGGGCAAATACCTGCCAGCAGGTATGGGGAGACTTTCGTTCCAGGATGTACTGGGTGAGGGGTGAAGGCTCCAGCTCATACTTGTCAAAAGGAAGCTTGTCTATGACCATGGGCTCACAATCCACACAGGAGAACCTCACCACAGGGTGAGCTGTGCGTGGAGGCTGAAAGGAGGAAAAGGGTATCAGTTTTCACATATTTATGGTAAACAAACCAATTCTCTTAAAAACATCCATAAGCAGGTATTTCACCATCCTATAAGTCTTAAAACACTCAGTTTCCACAGTATTCCTTCAAAGAAAATAAAATACAAGCTCCCACAACAGAATATAAACAAAATATTTCTCTAACTGAAAAAAATGCTCACACACTGATACAGTTTTCCCACCAAGAGAAAAACATGGTTAATATGCCACTATTTATCTTTATATTTAAAAGCCTTCATGTCAATTGAGCTACAACACAGACAGGCTTAAAGGAGACTTCAACTCTTCTTCCCATCTTCAAGTCCACAGAAAAACAGATGGGAGAGGGCCCTCAATTCACAAAGAATCTCTCAAAGAACTCTCTACAAATCTTTCTTTTTTTTCCCCTCTTCAATCAGGAGGTGGGAGCAAGGAGAATGGACAGACAGTACCTTGTGCACTTGCGAAGTGCGGGAACAGAACATGCCTGACAAAAGAGAGATGTTTAGATAGACTAATAAGGCATGCCAAATGTATGATCACTTCAGTAAGAAAAGGAGAAATTAATACTGTTTTCTCCTCATTTTCTGCAGGGAGTAGCTCTTCTGTTTCAGTTTTAGTTCTTCCTGCTAGTGAAAGAGTCCACACATGAAGTAATACTAAGGAAAAAACCCATGGTTGATCTTCTTTCAAAAACACATACTCCTTTTTCCTTGTAAATGAATTTTATAAAGCTTTGATTAAAATTTAATGTCTCACTATGATTTGTGCTACATGAAGTAACTTAGAGTTCAATTTTTTAACCTTTTAAAACCATTCAACAAATTAACTAACCAGATACATGGAAGTGAACTTTCTGGATACAAGAAGTGGCACAGGTTACAGTATCCACATAAGATAATACCATTCTGCTAACCTTGTAAAGCAAAGTCACATCATATTCTAAACAGAGAAAGTAAAAACTACTCTATCATTATCTATTTTCATTCTGTTCAACTATTAGTGTAGAATCCTTTTTTCAGTTCTTATTTTACTTACCAGTGTTGGTGAATTCTGATCAGGCCAAAAAGATTCTGGGATTGGCCAGTGCCCCACAGGAACACCCGTTTTAGGGTTAGGCCGCACATAAATGAGTTTATGACAACTATGCCACGGCTGAGAAGCAAATGAATTGATGGGCCTGGATGAATCAACAAGTCCATCTAAAATTTAAACAAAGCAAAATAAAAAAAGAAAATGAAAAGCTACATGCATGCAATTGTCCGCTAGCAAAATTTCTGTATTAGCAGCCAGTAAGGCATTTCATTACTCTTGTTCTAAAGGCAAAGATATTTACATCAGAGGCTGAAATAACCTATGCATCCAGGTGTATCACAGAATCATCTGAGAAACAATTACAATATTTGCCCTGATCTTCCTTCTGCTGTTGTGGCACAGCCATCACACAGTGAGTGCAGCAAGGCCTACTCACGTACTATGGAAAATGTATTTGCTTAAGCTCAGTGTCTGACACAGCTCCCACAGCAGCACCAAGCCACTGCTGCTGCTTCTGCTGCACCTGGAAAGGCTGAGAATTCGCATTTTTATTTCTACATGGGCTGCAGTGCTCACTGACTGATGCTGCCACACATAGAAACTCAAAGAGGAGCAAAGTTCCTTGGAGAAGTTGGATCCATCTTGCAGGAGGCAGCTTTTGCCACGTATTTAATTACAACATTTCACAGATCACTTGAGTTTAGGGGCTGCACAGGCCAGCATCCCCTGCCAGCCCACCAGCACAGACTCCTGCATGCTGAGGATAAGGAACTTTGTAGCACTACAGATGGAACCAGCAGTTTTCAAGGACTGCTCTTTAAGGCAAACAGCACAGCAGAGATCACCCACTAACCAATCCTCCTTGTTTTAAAAAGATTTTACATTACTAGTTTTCCTTGCTTTAGAGAATTAGCCAGTAATGCTGTGGAAACCATGTTTCAGTGACACATCAGGTTGGTTCCTCTGCATTATAAAAACAGTGATTTTTACAGCTTGGGTACATCCTATCAATCTCTCTCTAGTTTAGGATTTTCTCAATTTCCATAGGAAAGAAAAGTCTTGACATTTTTATACATTCATATCCACAGTCCATCACCATTCAAATGTGACAGAAATGAAGGTAACAAAACCCCCAAATTTCACCAGTCATTCTCCCACACAGGAGAGAACATTTGGGCCACCACAGACATTTGGGAATTTGCTGCTGAGCTGTCCAGCACAGCATTACAGGAAAGCCTTCTTTAAATAAGCAAAAGGAGAAAACAAACATAGAAAAAGCTGATTCCAGAATGAAAGCAGGAATAAAGCTGCTTTGCTAGAATGTTCAGGTGGTGCTAAAAGCTATTATGTTTTCTGATATTGCAGGATCCTAAACTGGTCAGCCCTCTCCTCTTCCTTTAAGCCATGAACTTCTGTAAATCTGAAGAACTGCTTCTCATTTGGAGTGCACTTTCCTCTTTTCCTCTTATGCACTTGACTCAAGGGAGCAAAGTAATTCTTTGTTCTTTGCACAGTTAAGAATGTTCACCTGCATTTTACTGATCTGTGATCATTTTAGCAGAATGAAAATCTACAGAAAATTAAGCATTGAGATTGCTTTAGAGATGTTTAAGTGTTTAAACACACTACTGCTAGATTTAATTATTTTAAGTACAGTCGTGACAACACTGTAATTCAAACTTAAATGCTTCCTGCTAACATTCCCTTTCCTCAGCCACCCAAAGAGGTAAAAAGAGTGACACAGAGCCAGCCAGCAGTAGATGATCCATACAAGCATGTGCAGACATATGGCATCATTTAACTTAGCAAGGATCAAACTAACACTGGTAAAAGGTGTATCCTGTACACTGCAGGGAAAACTGGCAGGAAGGACATGAAGACACTTAAGGACATCTACACACAAACAAAACATTTTGTCTTAAACATTAGGAACAGGTAAAAAACCAATAATCACTGTACCTTCTCCAATAGGAGCTGGGTCTGGTCCTGACTTCTCAAAGTTAATAACAACTCCACTTTGGACTTTTTGAACTAAAGATTCTAAACACTGATTCAACATTCTTTGTGTTCGGACGCAGTATGAACGACCTATGCAAGAGAGAAATTACATGGGGAAACACAAAAGCAAATTTTGAGTAATCTTACTTGAGGAAGATCTTTTATTACCTAAGTCACACTGCCAAGGCTTGCAACTTTATCCAAAATAACAGCAAAAAACTCTGTACAAGTTTAAGCAAAAGGCAAAGTTCTTTGCAAATGCGAGACAACCAAGAAAAAGCACCAAAACGCCACAAACTGCTGAGATTTTGTTACTAAAAAGAGGCCATTAAGGCTTCATCAGGCTGGACCAAGGCCAAGTTTACAGAGGCCCTCAGAAAGGCCTGATTTCACCAAGACTGTGTAATCTATCTGCTTTTGTCTACCCAAACCTCCTCCTCCCACACAACAATTTCTCCAAGCACCAATTAAAAAAAAAAAATCTAATCAACATATCAAGCAATAGGATCCAGAATTAATTTTTTTAAGATTAAATTTAGCTTATCAGCCCTGCAGCAGAATTAACATCTCACTAATAGCAGTCCTGCTCAATTCAACACTTGACTAACAACAAATTTTTTAAAAGCCCCCTCATGATGAGCAAAGGCAACATCCAGAATAACCAAAGAAATTTTCCAAAACCTCCTACTGCATTTAGAAAATGCTCTCACATCTAGATCTGAAATAGGAAAATTGCTTTATTTTAAAGTTCTCCTGTGCTACTGAAATCCAAAAAAGCACCACATGCACTCACATGGACACAGAGTGAGACACACAAAACAGAGGTGAAGGTGAATTAAAGGAAAAAAATGCCAAATGTGAAGCAAAGCAAAAAAGCATGCAGTTACCTCCTGTGACCTCACACATCTGTGTGATAGCAGATTCATCAGTAGGCACACTCCCAAGCTGCTCTGGCTCAGCAGATGCAGCCCCTGGCAGGCGCAGCACCAGAGCAAACAGCCTTTGATCCCAGCGGAACGGTTCTTTGGTTAGCTCACTTCCAGGCAAAGGAGAATTCAACGGAAGATGAAGCTGGTAAAAAAAGATTGAAGAACATTTTCCAGTATTTGACAAACCAGCTAAAAACATCATACCCAAATTCATTCACTTATCTGTAAAAGACCCTGTTTTCTCCAACCCACTAATTTATCTGAAGTTTTCAAAACCCTTACAGACTATGAATTTAGGGGCTGGGCAGTGACAGGATAGCTGGTTTCTATTCTCTATAAAAACAGGTCAACTATGAAAAAGTACAATTAGCAGGAAAAAACTGATTAATACTCATCTCAGCATAGCACCAACCTGCACAATCATAACTTGAAAGAACTTAATGAAAGTTTACCTCCTCTTGGACTCCAGCTGTATTTGTCAGTTTGTTTCCATCTGTGATGGTAATCAAAATAGATGGCTCCAAAAAGAATGGATTCCTTCCCTACAAACAAAAGCACAAGAATGCTAAGAGCAACCTTACCACACAGGATGAGAGGCTTGTATTTTTGTTATTATAAAATAAACAGTAAGATAAGCAATCTTTCAAAATAATCCTGTAATTTTGTAAATAGGTGTGGAACCACATAGAACTATACAAGATGGGCCACTTCTGTGTGTTTACACTTGGGGCATTTATACTCTGCTTTTTTGTACTTCAGTAAGGAAACAAATGCCAGCATTTTCCAGAGTCTCTTCAGTAGCCATAATAAGAAAAAATTCTTATTATTAAAAAATTCAAAAAAGCTTGAGTTCCCAGCTCAAGCTCTTACACAGAGCTGTCCAACATTAACAAAAAGTTAAATGCAAAAAGGAACTTGAACCACCAAAATCCCTCACCAACTATAATAAAGAAAACAGAAATATAAAAGACAGAAGACTATAGATAGATTTGTTACCTGTCCATAGTTGTCTATTCCAGACACTAATCTATTGAGATTTAACAAGTCAAACGATGACCTGAGTGCCTGACCAAGGGTTGTTAGTCCTGAAGCCTGAAGGTTTTTCAGTTCATTCATGAATGTTGCATGGTTTTCCTTCCATCCAGCCTGTTACATAAAACAAAAAAGCTTATTAGTTATTCTAGCAGCAAACTGCAATCAACTGCAAGTTGGCATTTATCTCTCTTCCCAACAAAAATTAATTATGCTCCTGATTAACGGATGCACTGCACCATTTTCATGCTGCACACACCTAACCCAGGTATGCACAGCTTGATGTGGAACATGGTTACACCTAAATGGGAGACTCAAGAAACACACACACTGCCAAGCACTGGAAAAACTTTGCACTACCATGAAAACTGTTGTAGAGATGATGCTGTTCATAGAAGTATTTGGATTTAGCACATAAATATTTTTTTAGGAGAAACTGCCAAGTTTGGAAATCAGAAATGCAGCTGCCAAAGTAACAGCAAAGGTAAAACCAAGATAAAAGCACCATAATGTCACTGTCTCTTCTGGCATTTACCCATTTCCTTTTTGTCCTTTCTTCCATAAATTAAGTCTGGAACAAAAGAAAGGAGTGGCTGCAAACACCCTATCAAGAATCAAATCGATGTTTAGTATCTCAGGGTAACAGCTTAAAATTTTGGAGGTCTTAAAAATAGTTATTGCTGACAAAGGCTAGGGATCAAAGGAAGAGCAAGTGATGAGGGTGGATCACCAAGCACTCTGGACCCTCTGGTGAGCAGGTCCAACAGGTGTGATTCACACACCCTTCCCCTAAGAGTGGTTTGCTGCACGGTTGGGAAGCTATTTTAGAAAAGACCAGCTCACAGGGAATTGGTACAGGATTTAAAGAGGCCTCAGCTAAAAGCTCAAAGTCCTGGATATTGCTGTAACTCCCAGCCTTGCTATTAAAGCACACTCTCCACACTTTTCACCCAGGCTCACTCTCATGTGCCACCAGAGACATCCCCTGTGCTCCAGCAGGAACCCCAGCTCTGCAGACATGGACAGGATCATTTCAGACAGCCTGGCTGCTGCTGGGACAGCCCCTGAGCAGCATCCCCCAGGTGAGGCAGCTTCTCCTCCCTGTGCCTCCTGCTGCCTGTGCCAAGTTGTGCAAGAACACCAGGACTGGATCTTCCTGGGCTTTTTTGTTTGCCAACCTTTAGCACACACTGAGGGCTCTGTGAATGGGCTTAGGACAGACATGTTCAGAACTGTAAAAGATACAAGAATTGAGCAGAAAGGACTTGTGATGATCAACACTTCTGTGGAGTTGAGAAGCCTGAGCTGGGTGGATTTCTTTTCAGAATTGAGAATTATCATAAGATAATACAACAAAAGCATTTTGGTCAAGTTTAGCTCCCTTAACCAGTTCTTCAAGCTTGAGATGAATGCCAGGGATACGAGTGAGAAAACTTTGCAATGGGACAAAGAAAGAACAGACTTTCACCAAGATTGCTTCAGCTTCATGATTAAACTGCCCTGGAAGTTCAACAGAACCAGGTAATTCTCAATAAAACACCAACACTCACACACAACCACAGCTTAAAATACAGCATCTCATCAGCAGAGCCACAGCAACCTCCCACACCTGCGGTCAGCTCAAGGCAAAAATGAAATGCAAGCAGAGTCACTGTTCTGGAGTAAAAGTGACTTAGTTAATGGTACTTTTCCAGAGTGAAATAGCACCAAATCTCAACAGGATGATTTGTCTTATCCTAAAAAAGCTTCTCTTAAACAATCTTAAGTGAACAGTTACCAAAATTGTTTTGTCTGAATTCTATGGATCCATAAATGCAGGTGAGACTGCTCCCTTTTGTCTGGCACAAACACCCATCAGTGAGTCCATCAGTGTTCTTGGGAACAGCCAGGCTGGAGTTCACAAAGTGTTTTCCTGCAAAGACCATTTGCCTTATGTTGTTACTAAAGCACAGGGGGGAACAAAACATTTACAAAAGAAACATTATTCCCAGTCTACATTTCTTGATTTGAACTCCAATGAATTTAAGAGTATTCTTTATAAAATAAACAGTAAGAGTCTTCTTCACTGGTATTTGGAGATTCTGCTATTTTCCCATTGTGAAAATGTTTGCTCAGCTTCCAGCTCTCTGTTTGATCTTGCTGCAGTGTGGTCAACTGCTTGCAAAATAAAACATGTACCATTTCCTCAGGCAGAAGTAGGGAAGCTGAAGGTACAAGGAGCAGCTCATCACCAATGGTTGGCTGTCCAAGGAAACTGTTTTTCATCTTACAGCTCTCACAGGATCTTTATAAAGTCAAGGAGAACTGTACCTTTGAAATAAACAGAGTAAAATGGAAGAACTTCTCATCATGAGAACAAGAGCAGCAAATGCAAGATTTCCATATCCAGCTCTAACTAAATGTCTGATTAGTAGTAATGTACTTCATTCTCTACCTTATCCTCAAAAAAAAAAAATTTTGAATCAAAAACACTTAAATCAAGGACAAGAAAGTCTACTTCTGTAAAATGTTTTTCTCCAGAAAGACTCAAGCCAATGTATATAATGAAACATGTATTTCAGGGACAGAAGTCTGTATATTCTCCTTTCCATATATACAGTAGGAACATTCTTAGGGCAAAACAGAGTCAAGTATCCCACACTGAGCAGATGCACAATGAGTTCACATTGAAGTGATTAAATAATAATCCTTCCTAAATTTAAAATACTGCCACTAACATTGCTTACAAAAAACTCACTGGCTTTATTTGCCAGGATAAACACTAATGACCAAAAAAACCCCAACCAAAACTCCACAACCTTAAAGGAGCAAACACATATTCCACAAAACTACAAATCCTCCACAGGTCAGTAATAAGAAGTCAGAACTGAATATTAGTTATTTCAGTTGTTTATGAACCAATTTGAGCAGTGAGAGTATTTGCTTCTAATCTTCAATATTACATTCCGACTCAGTCACTTTTATGCCCAGAATTTATTAATAGCAATCTGAGCAGCCTTTACCTTGCCAGTATATTACTGGCCTTTCCTTTGATAATTTATATGAACAAATAATTTTAGACTCTAAACACATACCAGAAGCCTTTCAAAGATAGCTAGGAAAAAACAAGTACTAAAATCAAAAATCTCACCCTCTTTGCTTATGCCAACACCAGACAAAAATGCACTGTCATTTGGCCTTCTGCAAGCTCTGGATACCATCCTACAAACCAGCCAGAGATTTGGAAGCATCACACCACCCTCCAGCTTCTGGCTTTGGCCTTGGCAAGCAAATCATGCTGACAAGAAATAACATACTTCAAAAGTAACATTTTTCTCTGCTAACTTAGTTTTCAGCCAAATCCATGCCCTGCTCTATATTTCACCACACAGCTCCAGAAGTATTTCAGCAGGTAAGGTCAAACCAGCTTATTTCTGCAGAGAAAGGCCCAGATTAACGAGAATTCAAACAGCAAGGTGAAAAATCCAGTGAGGAAAAGGAGGCCTTATTTAGACCAAGCAGAATCAGGACTAACTGAACATCAAAAGAACAGAGTTCAGCAGCAAAAGAAAATCTTGGCCAGGGTTGGTAGCTTAAAAAGACTTTGGAGAAACAGAATATTTTAGCTGCAAGAGAAAGAAAGAAAATCATATAAAATGCTGTAGCAGGAGTTAAAAGACAAAAACAAACCACTCCACCTTTATCACATAAAAGGAGTAATATTGATGTACAAGTAAAACAGCACCAAGTTTTGAATATATGTAACACAGATCTTGAAATCTCAGCTACACTGGCTTGTCTGTCAAGTTTACTGGTCTTACTGTAGTGTTTTACTGGTTCATTGTTGGTTTGTTCTGGCTTTGATTGGTGCTGTGCTTTTTTTCTTTTATTCTTTCCAACTATTTCTTGGCACAGTTTTGTCAGTTTGCAAAAAAAAAAGGGCAGAGCCAAAGGCTGGGCATTAGAGCACAAGAATTCCAGGTCCAAAGCAGTTCCCAGTTTCACCAGCTTCAGGAAATCCAGGGACATGGTGATTTGGAGGCTGCAAGTCTTCATCTTCAGAGCTTCTAATAAGCAATGCCACAAGACTGAACTGCACAGTTTATTGTTCACTGGATTGCTTTCAGATCTAATTCAAAAATCACAACATTTCTAAAAATAATCTTCCAAGAAGACAATCTGCAATCCTCCATGCCAATCGCAACAGCCTGTGTTACAGTACATACTCAATAGTTAGTCAAACATACAGATTTTTAAGAGTTCTGCTAATGCTGCCCTAGCAAGAACAACTGCATTTCAGATATTACAACTTGTTTAAAGTATTTAAGTTTCTCAATAATTCAAGCTATTATTAAATGTACCCATCTTAGGAAAACAAGAATACCTTAACACAACATGCCTGTGGCATCCTAGCTTGTCAGTGGCAATCATTTGGAAAAAATAAGGTAAGAAAAAAAATCCAGCTGTTGAAATCTGATTCCACTCCTGTAATGGAATTTCCAAGTACCATAGGAAGACAGTGAAACCAGCAGAGCATTTTGCCTCCCAAATCACCAGAATGATTCATTTTTAAATTACCTTTCTGTTCACTGGTGACTGTACACATGATCCCAACTCAGACCTGCTCATGTCTGAGCCAAAGTCAAGCAGGTATTTTTTTTGTACACCCTAAATTCAGGGGGCTGCTTCCAAAATGCCCAAGTATCTTCACCTCTTTGTAATCTCCTGAATCCAGCCCCAGCACTGCTCAGTGGGTTCTGCAGCAGGGAATAACCTCCTGTGCAGCCTTGAGCTTCCCTGCCTGAGTGCCAACAACTTTGGCAGAGGAGTTTTAGCAAGCCAAGAGTGTCCTGGTCACCCCAGTTCTGCCACAAACAGGGAAAGGAGAGGTGCTGGCACCTGTGTCCCCTGCCCATGAAGGACAGGGTAAGGCTGCTTGTCACTACAGAGCAGCCAATGCCCATGCTACCCCCATGTGTTTGATTTGTTATTTGAAGATTTGCTAGCTAAAAATAGCACACAAGAGAAGAAAGGTACTGACTGCATTATGAACACCAAATACATTTTTATTTAACGTTTTTCATTTTCCTAAAATAATTCAGAATCATATGATCTACCAATCACCTACTAATTTCATCCTCACAAACGTTTTTCTGTGCAAATGGGGCAGAA